ATAGGGTATTATTGGGAATTTTTAATTGTTTTAATGTTTTTCTAAAGCTTTAATATTGTTGTACGCTGCTCAGAGTCCATTGGTAATGTCGCGGCTAAAAAAATCTTGTTAAATAAATAAATAAATAAATAAATAAATAAATAAATAAATAAATAAATAAATAAATAAATAAATAAAAAAAACTTTAATACCTTATAATTGTAATGCTGCTTGCATTCAAAGTTGCATCTGGTGAAATGTCCTGTTTTAAAGCAGTTATTCAAGATCCGGAGAACCTGTTCCCTTTTAAAAGAAATCAGGTCCCCTGAACTTAATTACTTTGCTCGGCTGTGAAGCTTGAACGGTTGGAGGCAGGACCGATGGATGGAGTCAGTGGCTTGAAAGGGGGGGCGCCATTTTGTTTCTCTCTGGTCTGCGTGAGAGAGCCAGCCTGCACAAAATGGCTTCCCGCTCCGGAAGGCAAGGATAGAGGGCGTCTACCTTATCCTTTCCCTCCCTTCAGAGCAGAATGTTATTGTGGGAGAAACCAGGCAGCCAAGGCTGAAACCGAAAGGCACTGTGAGGCTTGGCCTGGGAACAAGACACAAGGAATAGCTCAGGGCTGGCAAAACAACGCCCATGACCCCTCCACCCAACATTCATTGCCTACACTGAAGTGCTCCTCTTTCCTGCCCTAGAGCTCTCAGAGAGGTGGATCCGGGCGGCTGGCTAGCTTCTCCTTCTCCAGCTGGATTGTCATTTTTTTAAAAAAGCTATCTCCCCATCTGTCAGTTTTCTGGAAACCTCCACACCCCCTCCGTGATCCTTTGCTGACCCTCCACCAGGACCACTTTAGACTCTTTCCAGCCCTGCAGAGATGGGCTTTCAGGTGATTTCAGGGCAACCCTAAGAGGCACCACAAAGTTTGTTATTCCAGACACCTTGGACGTGTTGCCACTTCTCTTCATTGAGGTAGGGAAACGGCAGCATTTCCTCCAACCCCAGCCCAAGAAGAGGGGTCTCTATGGGTGTCTGGCACCCTGTGGGGTTGGCAGAGGCGGGTGCAAAAGCGCCTCTCATATATGCATGCACACACGCATGCAGACACGGAAGCAGGCATCCGGGAGTCCCCATGGACCCCTTCTGCCTCTGGCAAAGAGGGAGGCAGGCAGAACACAAGGCATAGGAAATCCTCAAGTAAGAACCACAGCTGGTTTTTTTTTTTAAAAGGTCTGTATTTTTATTAATAAGCCAGCTTCCTATAGTCTTTTTTATAGACAAAAGTCATTTATTCTGGCAAAACTCGGATCTCAGAATTAAAAGCTGATTTGGAGGGGGAAATGCCACTTCCGGATTCAACCTCTTTGCATTTCAACAAATTGTAAACACTTGATCGCTCCAGCCATGGCCAGGATGTTTGTGGCGAGTTGTCATGATGCTGTCACCAGCGATGCCCGTGTCTGTCTTCACTTGGTGCCACCATTTTGGGTCCCCTTCTTTCTGCCCAGCTGGGCCGGCATAAAATGGATTCTGTTCCAACCACATTTCTCCCCAGAATGCTTCTCTTGTGATCAGGACGCTTGCTTTGGGCAAAGTCCATAAGAGACAAAGACAGAAACGAAAAGCTGTATCCGTCCGCCAGTTACGCTGCTGGGCTTGGGAATGACTGAGAAAACATCTGCCCAAGAAAGGATGCTTTGCCTCCCCTCACTAGCCACGTGTGAGGCGTCCCTGCAGAACAAAAAGCCACCCTGGGCCAGGCAGAAAGCTGCCCGCCAACCACGTTTCCTCGCTCATGTGTGTTGGGGGCAAGGGCATCAAACACCCATCCACCACTCTAACTCCCTTGAAGTACGGGGTTGTGAGGGGAGAAAAAGAGCCACATCTTGTGCGGTTGTGGTGACAGGTGCTCCTTCTAGCCTCTGGCAGAAGCCGTGATTCTGGTTTTCCTGCTTAAGAGCAAGAAAACGACACTTGGCTTTTCAGATTCTTTTAATTTCTGCAAACACTTCCACAAAAGGGATTTTTTATGTTAGATGAATTAATATATATATTTTATGTCCTTTTCTACATCCAAGTTTCTGGACAGAATTTCCTTTCATCTCACTCCTACAACAACCCTGTGAAGTCGATCAAGATGAGACATGTAACCACTAGACAGTGTGTATCACGGCTAAGAGGAGACTTGAACCCAGATCTTTCTCAGCTTCTTATAGTTTGCTGCATGCAGTTCCATTTGCATCTGGAAGGGTCACAGAGGTCACTCTGTCTTGGTCTCCCATGAAGAGCCGGTTCCTCAAGAGAACTTCGCCCATGCTCTAGGGTGCCCTCTTGGCCACAAAACAACATCGGAATCCGGCCATCAAAGTACTGTACTCAGTGGTGTCCCCAGTAGAGCTGAGCCTGCTCCTGGATTTTCTCTCTCCATCTTTTTCCTTACTTCATGCAGTTTTAAAATCATAGTTTTCATGCTTTGACGTTTAAAGAAAGGAACTGCAATATATAGTGCTTATAAAGTACAGTAATCATCTTCAAGAGGAAATTGCTCAATTCAGAGATCAAGCTTTCGGCTCTCTTTCAAGGCAGCAGAACTCATTACGTTTATAGTCAAATATGGGGAGAGAAGGAGCTGTGACAGAGGGAGAGGTTTTCCTTCAGGAATCATCCTGCTCCCCCACCCTGCATTTCTTTCTAATTATAAACTTGATTTTTTTTCCTCTCTGCTGATCCTCGACTGCTCCCTGCTGGAGAGCAGCAAGAAAACTCAGGTGGTTTCCAAGAAATCAGACCAGGCTGGAGGACAGTCTGAGCAAGTCACACACACACACACACCCAGTATCTTCACACACCCACATGGCCCGGGCACACAGCGTTGTCCTTGGCACCTGATGTATGTTTGGAGCACAGGAAATGGGATATAAAAAGAAGGAGAGAGGGAGTCCCTGAAGAAGGAGCAGCTATGCCATCGGCAACTCAACAAGCCCAGAAAGACAGACCTGTGGATCCTTGAAGAACAATTCTGATCGCCACAGCAAAGTTATAAAATAAAGTACAGTTAGTACTATGTTTCCCTGAAAATAAGACCAGGTCTT